ATAGTCTAGTCTATAGTCTAGTCTGTAGTCTAGTCTATAGTCTAGTCTGTAGTCTAGTCTATAGTCTAGTCTGTAGTCTAGTCTATAGTCTAGTCTGTAGTCTAGTCTATAGTCTAGTCTATCCTATAGTCTAGTCTATAGTCTAGTCTGTAGTCTAGTCTATAGTCTAGTCTGTAGTCTAGTCTATAGTATAGCCTATAGTCTAGCCTATAGTCTATAGTCTAGTCTATGGTCTAGTCTAGTCTAGTCTATAGTCTAGTCTATAGTCTAGTCTATAGTCTAGTCTATAGTCTAGTCTATAGTCTAGTCTATAGTCTAGTCTATAGTCTAGTCTATAGTCTAGTCTATAGTCTAGTCTATAGTCTAGTCTATAGTCTAGTCTATAGTCTAGTCTATAGTCTAGTCTATAGTCTAGTCTATAGTCTAGTCTATAGTCTAGTCTATAGTCTAGTCTATAGTCTAGTCTATAGTCTAGTCTATAGTCTAGTCTATAGTCTAGTCTATAGTCTAGTCTATAGTCTAGTCTATAGTCTAGTCTATAGTCTAGTCTATAGTCTAGTCTATAGTCTAGTCTATAGTCTAGTCTATAGTCGAGTCTATAGTCTAGTCTATAGTCTAGTCTATAGTCTAGTCTATAGTCTAGTCTATAGTCTAGTCTATAGTCTAGTCTATAGTCTAGTCTATAGTCTAGTCTATAGTCTAGTTTATAGTCTAGTCTATAGTCTAGTCTAGTCTATAGTCTATAGTCTAGTCTAGTCTAGTCTATAGTCTAGTCTATAGTCTAGTCTAGTCTAGTCTAGTCTAGTCTAGTCTAGTCTAGTCTAGTCTAGTCTAGTCTAGTCTAGTCTAGTCTAGTCTATAGTCTAGTCTATAGTCTAGTCTATAGTCTAGTCTATAGTCTAGTCTATAGTCTAGTCTATAGTCTAGTCTATAGTCTAGTCTATAGTCTAGTCTATAGTCTAGTCTATAGTCTAGTCTATAGTCTAGTCTATAGTCTAGTCTATAGTCTAGTCTATAGTCTAGTCTATAGTCTAGTCTATAGTCTAGTCTATAGTCTAGTCTATAGTCTAGTCTATAGTCTAGTCTATAGTCTAGTCTATAGTCTAGTCTAGTCTAGTCTATAGTCTAGTCTATAGTCTAGTCTAGTCTAGTCTAGTCTATAGTCTAGTCTATAGTCTAGTCTATAGTCTAGTCTATAGTCTAGTCTATAGTCTAGTCTATAGTCTAGTCTATAGTCTAGTCTATAGTCTAGTCTATAGTCTAGTCTAGTCTAGTCTATAGTCTAGTCTATAGTCTAGTCTATAGTCTAGTCTATAGTCTAGTCTATAGTCTAGTCTATAGTCTAGTCTATAGTCTAGTCTATAGTCTAGTCTATAGTCTAGTCTATAGTCTATTCTATAGTCTAGTCTATAGTCTAGTCTATAGTCTAGTCTATAGTCTAGTCTATAGTCTAGTCTATAGTCTAGTCTATAGTCTAGTCTATAGTCTAGTCTATAGTCTAGTCTATAGTCTAGTCTATAGTCTAGTCTATAGTCTAGTCTATAGTCTAGTCTAAGTCTAGTCTATAGTCTAGTCTATAGTCTAGTCTATAGTCTAGTCTATAGTCTAGTCTATAGTCTAGTCTATAGTCTAGTCTATAGTCTAGTCTATAGTCTAGTCTATAGTCTAGTCTATAGTCTAGTCTATAGTCTAGTCTATAGTCTAGTCTATAGTCTAGTCTATAGTCTAGTCTATAGTCTAGTCTATAGTCCTAGTCTATAGTCTAGTCTATAGTCTAGTCTATAGTCTAGTCTATAGTCTAGTCTATAGTCTAGTCTATAGTCTAGTCTATAGTCTAGTCTATAGTCTAGTCTATAGTCTAGTCTATAGTCTAGTCTATAGTCTAGTCTATAGTCTAGTCTATAGTCTAGTTTATAGTCTAGTCTATAGTCTAGTCTATAGTCTAGTCTATAGTCTAGTCTATAGTCTAGTCTATAGTCTAGTCTATAGTCCAGTCTATATTCTAGTCTATGGTTTTGTCTGTCCTAGTCTGTAGTCTTTTCTAGTCTATAGTCTCTCGTCTACAGTATAGTATGAAGTCTAGTCATTTTACAGTCTAAAATCCTTTTCAGAAAAAAATTATGTCTAAAACGGGTGCATACTGTCAAAGGACCTGTCAATTTTCTTAAGCGGAACTCCATTTAGGCTTAATTTTTTTTAAAATTAACAATAATGTTCATAATAGGTAAGCACTACGTTTAGGAAGTAATTTAATAGTATAGGATGAATTTTTGTACATTTTTTGCTTCTTGTCCTGTAGAAAGAGATTGGGATAGCTGTTAAGAAACTTTAAAAATTTAATTTAGTATTTAAATACATGTATTACATATTCACGACTGTTCATGATGTTGGTAGGCAATATTTAAGACAAAAACTATTTCTTTTACAATATTTTTCTTCTCAAACCATTTGCTTAAGTGTGTGTCCTGAAAAATGTATGGCTGTGGGAGTCCATTGTTAATAATTAGTAGGTGGCAGACCAACAAGTTCACCTTCTTGCTACCACCACAATAAATAACCCCAAACAATTATGTCCCTGGTGTACGCGTATTTATTTTGATATGAATAATTCATGCATTTATCAAAACAAAACAAAAAAAGAAAACGTTAATTAGACATTAATTTAATTGTGCTTCTAGAGACTAAATTAATTATTATGATGATAATGATAATAATGATGATGTTGATGGCAGTGATGATATGGATGTGAATAATAATTATTTTGGAAGATACACTGTTGATGTTTGCTGTTTACGCCCAGGTTTAAAGCCTCAAAGACAGTGAAATTTTACTTTGATCTAATGTTAATGTAGGAACATTTTAATCATCGTCAAAAGACCGTATAAAATACATAAAGTATTTCTGTTAAAATCATTTAGGTATTCTCGGAGTGAGATAATTGTATTTCAAGAAACCGTAACCATGGTATGAAATATTGTGGAATTTTGTCAAATAATAATAATAATAATGATAAAAACCAAAGAATGAAAAAAATCTTGTTATATTACATTAATTAATGTTAAATCAGCAGTCTAGAATAAATTAATATATTCTACTTTAGTTCTTGAGACAAAGAAATCATTGTTGTAAATTTTAATTAACAATTCTATTTAATAGATAAAACCTATTGTTGTTAGAATAAAGTAATACATATGGGCAATTGCGTGGCAAGTGACCCAATTTTTAAAATAGATGGATACAATGAAGGAATAGCAATATGAACTCCTTTCGACAATTTTGTTAGGCCAATGGGTGAAAAGTTACTCTCATTTGAATAAAAACCTGTACAACCAAAATGTCAAACATTGACCCGCTCTATGTCTGTCTGGCTTACTATCCAATTGTACTAACCTTGGTGCTAATTTCATCAAAATCGATTTTTTGAGTTGGATCACTTGACATGAAATTGCCCACATGTTTAATACTAGAGTGTCCCGAGGACATCCTTATGCCCAACATTGCCCGAATGATGTTCGTATTTTCTCACTATGATCGTTTACATTTTATGTTTTTCATTTTAAAATCTATTTTTAGTTGAAAATACATATAAGTAATCACAGATTTTAGTTATTTTCTCAGTTAGACCGTTTTTTATTGTTTTTATATTTTCGATATTTTATCTTTTAAATGAGAAAATATCTTTTCGATTTTTTTGGTAATATGTCGCTGCATTTAAATTTGATCTAATATATTTCTTTAATAATTGTTTTACAAAAAGTGGGCTTAAAAAAGGCGTGCCCATCCGAAAAGTAGCTTATTTTTTTCCAGTAAAAACTCTAAAAGACAACCTTATTTATCACTATAACAATATTAAATAAAACAGACTACTTTTTATTTCAATGACCTTATTTGCATCGATTGCGAATTGTCTAATCAATATCTTCACCCAGTATATAGTATGTATCTTGACTTCGTATGTATCTCGACTTCGTATGTATAACATATATGTACATATCCATATTATTATGCATCCTTTGAAAACTTCCTATTTTTGCATCACATCAAACTTAGTATACTAATAATCATATTATGAAACCGTCATCAATTCATTTGCCCTAAAACAAAACTCTTAACTTTTGCATAACTTCGTTACCGTTGTTCTCTTTGTATATATTTGAATTGTTTGATTTAATATTTAATTGGTGTTTAGTTGTTGTAATTTGATTGTTTTCAAAAAAAAAAAAAAAAAAAAAAAAAAAGTTTTAAATGATTCTCATCAGCCTTCGTAAACAAAGTGCGCCTTGTAAATGAAAACTTTTAACAAACCTGAGAAGTCATGACTGATTCTACGCATACAAAAGGGAAAAATATTCATAACAACAACGATAGCAGTATCGGTTAAGGAAATGGATATACAAATAAACCACCGTCAACAACATCATCTTCATCATCATTCCAACTATTAAAAACAATAAAATATCAAAAAGTAACAGCAGCCTTTCAATGAAATGCAAATTCTAACGTAGGTTGACAGAAAATCGTTTGATCTAAAAATGTTTCCTTTCGTCCTTTAATTTTCAATAAAATTATTTTTTTTTTGTTTTCCCTAAGAAAATTATTTTTTTAATGGAGAATAGATATGATCACCCACTTTAGGACCTTTAGTTTCCGCAAAAAAAAATACTTTTTCTGTAAATCGATTTTTGCTGTATAGTGAAAATGATCGGTCCAAGCGTCCCTTAATTTAAGTTTTTACTAAAAAAAATCAATTTTGAATATGGAAAATTACCAATAGAGGTCCCCAAACTTTTAGTTCATCCCACGTATTGGCTGGTAAAGAAGAAACTTATGTATATATTTATTCCCCCAATGATTTTCAACAAAAACCAAGCAACCAGATATGTAAACAACCTCCAGCAAAATGGTATTTTTCATACATTCAGAGAAAGTATATCCAACTCGTCGTACTTACATACACTGACTCTTACTCACTCAAATGTTTTACTCATACATTTACAGACCTTTGGCGGTTGTTAGGAATCGTCAGCAACAACTTCAAGAACAGAAATAGCAAGCATACAACTGTGGTTTGTTAATTTATATTAGCTCTTTTGGGGGCCTGAAAAATTTTGTTTAAAAGTGTAAAATAATTTTTTAATTTGATTTTAAATTAAATTAAAACTTAGGTTATATGGTCATGTTATGATTTAAATGTGTGTTCTGATCTTTAGCTACTGATGTTCAAATAAGTGATAATTTTTCTATAATTTCTATAGAATGGTATATATAAGTTTGTCATTCCGTTTAGAATTTCTGCAATATAATTTTCCGACCCCATAAAGTATACATATGTATATATTGTGAATCCTTATAGATAGCGAAGACGATAAAGACATGTCCGTCTGTATGTCTGTTGAAATCAATTTATGAAGATGCCAGATATCTTTGGAATCTAAACCTTCAATAATTCTATCAGCAAATAAGTAAATTCGGTCCATAAATAACTGAGATTTAAGCAAAAATCTCAGACAACCTCTGAAAATTTCATCAATAAACTAAAGCATAAAAAACAACAACAAAGGAACAATGCAATTATATTTGGATAATACAGCTTACATTTGTTTGAGGGTTGGTAATACAGTTATATTTATTTGTGGGTGGGTAATGCAGTTGTATTTATTTTTACGTAATACAGCTTATATTTGTTTGTGTGAATGATGAATAAAAAAATATGTAGAATAATTTATCCTGGCAGGTATTTTTTATTACAATTATAATTAAATTAATCTTTAATTAATACCACTGTGCAACATCATAGACTTTACATTTAAAATACAAATGTGTAATATTTTTGCAGTGCTGCAGATATTGTGGTACACTTCATCATAATAATTTATAACGAATATATTAGATATTTTGTAACAGCTTAATACGTGTGGCTTTCATTATTATCTCCAGTTTTAAAATTTTAGATAGTTTTGGACTGATTTACAAATGTATTTTAATTTTCTTTGCACTAGGACCTTTTCTTTGAATCTCGAATGTAAAGTTCAAAACATTATCCTTTCTTTGTCTAAGTAGGAATCTGTTTGCTATTTGAAGACTTTTAATGGGTCCAGATATATATCTGTTCCTTTTACACTTGTATGTACTCTTGATTTAATGTTAAACTTGTTTTCCCTGTTTTACATTTTTTATTTAATTTTATTACACTCGGTAAAGAAAGAGTGATGCAATTCTTCTTTGCAGAAGGGCAAGTAAAGTTTTCTGATTATTATGTATTGCGTTATTGTAAAGCCAAGAATAAAAATTCTTTACAAGGCCTACCAGTATCAGTAATTACTACTGAGTAAAATATGTTGCCTTTTGTTAAGATGTAAGTAGTTTATATTAATTTTACATTGAACTGAATTGGTTTGAATTGGATTGTATTAAACTCAGTTGAGTTCAGTTCAGTTGAATCAAGCGGTTTGTTTACATATACATACGTAAGTAGTAAGTGCAAAAGAAAAGTGGTTAAACTGGCTGACGGGATTGCAGGATGTCTGTAACCGCAGGGCAATAAGTAAAATGACTAGTTTGTCTTTGGGTCTTAATGCTTGATCGTTTATCCTTAAGCTTTTGTAATTTTTATGCTCCCACACCTACATAGCTGCTTGTATACCACCAATACACATACCCCATCACAGTTTAGACCTAAGTTTAATTGTTTGTTTATTGTGCATACAAAACACATCCTCAGTTGTATTCCCTTTTACTCGAAACATTAAGTGGTTGGAGCATGATAAGGATTTTAAATATTTACGAATATAAATACGTACGGAGTAGGCAATTAAATTTTGTCTTGAATTTTAGTTCTTTACGATGAAAATGTTCATGAATAATAGAATGGAACAGATGCAGATGTACTATTTGTATGTATGTATGTATGTATGTATGTATGTAGTTTTCTAATGTGTGTGTGTTATCTATGCATATAAATAACTAATGTTATAGGGGTTACCGAAAGGATATGTGTTCTTAGTTTTCGATATATCATTATAATATATCTGAAACTAAGATGGTACGTTTTCTTTTTTAAACAGTTGAATTAAAAGCACAAAGTATTTCAAATTTGTTTGCAAAATCTTAGATCACCCTTTGTTATAAAACGTTGTTCACTTTTTTAATTACTAGTTTGAGAATAAAATTTGAAATACATTAGTTTTTCTTCACTATATTTGTATGTGTATAAGTGTTTAAACATGTGCACTAGGGTGGCATGAAAAATCAACTTTGACATTTTTATACGAGTTTTGTTTACCAGAAAAATCGATAACTTCCAATCCGAGCATTACTTTTCAATTTTATATAAATAAGCTTCTTCTTCATAACCAATTTCTCGAAGATTCTCTATAACCTGGTCTTTCCAGCGGAGTTGGTTGGTTCACTACGTGCGAACTGTCAAGTAGAATCGAAGAGACTCCGTTTGACCTAGCGGAGTTAATTGTTGAAGCCTTTCGTGCTAGAGCATTTTCACCTATTTTGATGCGTTAAATCACGTCAATATCGGTATACAGCTCAAGGTTAGTACAACTTGGATACAATCCGTTAATGATCTTAGGCCCATATATGTATGTCAAAAACTGTCCAATTCCTTCTCTTGTGTAATAAATTCTGCTCCCGCCTGCCTGGTGTAGTTAGATTTTTCATTCAATTTTTTTGGTTTTCGTTGACTACGGAGCCAGGATAGATAAAATCATCTATGACATTATAGCTGTAGTTATCAAATACATGACAAACGTGTAGTTTCCTTGTTCGTAGACAACAAGGTCTGGTGTAGATTGGCTCTTTAAGCTGTTTGAAAATCTTGACTGAAGATTTTGTTTCAGTCAGACTTATCAGCATCAAAAGAACACCAAATTTAGCTATGGCTTCAAATAGTTTCACAAATTAACCGATGGCTTCAAGTAGCTTCTACCGTACCATATGGTCGACGAAATATCCACTGGGTGAGCTTTGTGATGACTCACCACCTCCCCTTCAATCTTCAATGAAGAAATCAGGTGGCAATTTTTGTATATGGCTATGCCGGTAGATGTAATTTGCTCGAGCACTTGAGCTATCTAATCTCTAACCATTGCTGCCCCGTTGCTTAACTTCCGAGATGTAAAACATCACTTCCGTTTACAACTACGCAGATGGGATTGCAACAACCACGCAGATGGATTCGGCAACAGCACCTAGGGACGTAACCGGTAGACCGAAGTACGAATCCATCAAATATGCCGAGACATTGTTCTTACTCACAGTGACACACTGTGGTAATTCTGATATGAACAGAGTAAACTCTAAACATATCTGGACAAGGAAGGAAAATTCAATAGAATCATTTGTATATGATACCTTTCATCCATCATCATTTAACCCAGCACACTTCTCATTCATTCGACACATTCATAAGAAAAAAAACACATGTTGTTTCGGCAACAGCACCGAACTTATACCGAAATATTGACTTTACCTTACATCAGTCCTTTAACCGCCACTTACTCTCCCCGCGAATTTGGGTTTAAACCACAGCCACTACGTGGATCCCGAGGGAACCTCAACCAACTGACCAGCCAGGACATAGTCCTACGGGCAACTGGCCACCCGCAGTACCAGATTATGTGGTTCTCTGGTTAGACCCCATGTCAAATCATACCAAAGATTAGCCGAGGAGTGAAGTGACATCACCAGTTTATAGTTCCGGCAGACTAGAGGTACTGGTAGAACCTCTATAAACCGGGATTGTAAAACACCATGATGGGATCTATCATCAAGGAAACATGGCCCGGGGGGAAGTCTCTTGACAATTGCAACTATAATAGATGTCTCAACTTTTACGTCGCTTACATCCCCGTCCTGTCCATCACATTATTCGGATAACGGTGATATCAGCCTTGCAGTTTTCTATGATATTCGCCAGTTGGATAGTGAACCTTCTCTGTCGAGGGTCCGTACATTTTATCATTTCTAATCATCATGAGAACGTTCTCAGGTTGACACAACATGCAAGTCGGCTTGGGATGCAAGTTTGTCATTGTATCCTCATAAAACTGTGATAAATTATAAAGATTATATCATTTGTATGAATGAATGGTTGGTTTTTATGAAATAAATGTTACAAATTAGTTAGAAATTTTTAAAATTATTAAACTTTTCACCCAAGATTTTATACACTTAATAACGTGTAAATGAATTTGTAAAACAATTCGAAAACTTTCAATAGCGGCGTCAATATACATCTAAGGGTGGTATTGTAAATCCTATTGCTACCCTAATGTGCATGTATATACTGTATTTCCTTATTTGCCACAAAACGAAAAACTTTTATTTATTATGTCAAAATACAAGATGAATGGTTAAATGAAATGAAAAACAAGACGATAATGTTGCAGATGATGATACAAACGGAAGTACGTAGTTCTAGAATTCTAAGATATTTTAAGGATATATAAAACTCGTATATAAGTCTATGTTTCTATCTTGTGTTAGTGTCTAAGTGAATGAGCACACATAAAATGATAATGATAAAATGCAATTAAATTTAAAGTTATGTTAAATAAACAACTATACACTAAACGTTTATACCTGAACGAAATGAATAAAATAAACAATTTCAACACCTTTCAATCGAATGCATCACATGTATTTAGAAAACAAATGATTTATAACAATTTTGTGAGAATTTTCTAACGACTGATGTTTAATGTAGTAGAAGAAAGATTTAAGAGATGCTTTTTAAATTTAATTTCAACAATTATTACTCTAGGCATATTAGAATAAAACTTTTTTAATAAATTAAAAAGATATATTAAAATCGTTATAATTTTATCTCTTAAATTCATGGAATAAAAAATTTTTGAATAATTTATTAATATTTAAGAAATCATGAAAATATAAAAGATAACTGATTGATATTGATATCAATTACAAGTTTCGATCGTGATTATTTTTGTTTCTCGGTAAAGTATTCATTATAAATATGTGCTTGTCTTTTCATTATCCATGTAATTGTTCTTGTGGAAAATCTGAATTACCTCAATTTTCTGAAATACTTGAACCTTCAACAGATTTAAAGCCTTCTGATGATAT